AGGGGTTGCTAATTGTGTTTGCCCCATATGTATCCTTTAATGTTCTTCAATACCATGGTACTGTAAGTTTGAGATCACTCTTCCCAGGAATGTCATGTGGATTTGTGAGAGAATACACCCCAGGTTAATGGGGGAGAGGAGATGTTTTGTCACAACTATTCTTGTGATGGCATTTGAGTAAATGTCTTTACTAAAAGTTAATTGTATCTAGTGGCTGATTGTTACTGGGAATCACAAGGACAAAGGCTTGTATACCGGGTCTATTAGAAGTACAGACCCAGGACGTTATCTCTAGAACCTGACAGAGAAGCTGCCTTTTGGTACCTAACCTGTAAACCTCTGAATTTAAGTTGGGGCTACTACATGAATAGACTTTCTATTTACTATCCGAATATACATGCTGCATCTCTAGAAAGATGTAGTCTCCTTGAGTTAAGGGACAATGTTCTTCTTGTCTTTGTATTGTTTCCAATGCATTGCAAGATTAAGTGTTAAATAAATAAATAAATGTTCGTTGAATTGAAAAGAACTTTGTATCATGTTCCTTCTGCCCTTTGCTGAGAGGAACTTGGCTTCCTCTGGATAATAATAACACACGTTTATATAGTACTGATGGTGTGCCAGGCACTGAACCAAGCATTTTACGATTATTATCTCATCTGATCCTTATGTCAACCCCGGGAGGGAGGTGCTATTACTATCACACTTTTACAGATGAAGAAACTGAGGTGCAGGTTGAGTAACTTGCCCAGGATCACATAGCTAGGAAGTGTCTAAGGCCCAGCACTCTATTCACTGTGCTACCAACCTGCCTTAGTCCTCCTCTCACTGCCCACCTGCCACCAATACCCTGGGCTGGTGGGAATGGGTAGATATACTACTTTCTCTGTACTACCACTTTCAGACTCTCTGCTATCATCACACAGAAACTTTCTTGCTGTGAGGTTTACTCCATCCAGCTTTATCACTCTTTCCAGGTCCTATTTTCTGTCATCTGTCAGTTCCATGGTTGCTTGTCTGATTCAGAATAGTCCAATACCTGGCTCACAAGTCTTTCTTTTCATACTGCCCCCGAGTTGAGCTCAATATTAATACTGAGGATCCCTAAAAACATCCTGGGCTCCCAGCACATCAATTTCCTTAACTCTCCTGGCTTCCATCTCCATTGTCCCTCAGTTGCCCACAGGATTGGGCATACCATCAACCTTACCATTACTTCACATTGTTCTGCTTCCATGACCCTGAACTCTGAAATTGCCTCCATGATAGTAATCTCCCTTCCTTCCATCTCTGCCTCATCCTCTGTCCTTTATAAGCCTGCATTTCATATTCCCCCAAAACTAGGTGGCATAATGGATAACGTACTGAGCCTGGAGTTAATGGAACTGAATTCAAATACATCCTCAGACATTTTGCAGATGCTATCTGACTCTGGGCAAGTCATTTAACTTCTGTTTGCCTCAATTTCCTCAATTGTAAAATGGGGATAATAACAGAACCTTTCTTGCAGGGTTGTTGTGAGGATCAAATGAGATAATATTTGTAAAGTGCTTGTAGTGGCTGGCACATAGCAGGCTCTATATAAATGCCTACTCCCTTCCCTTCCATCTACCCTTCCCTGTTCTCATCCATTCTTCATCTGTATTCTGGGTATATCTTTTTCTTCCTTCACAATTTTGACTGTAAGATTAGCCAGTTCAACATATACTGTTTGCCACTCTACTTTGCTCCCTTGTTCTGTTGTCCTTTCAATGTTCATCCCTTATCAATTCTTAATCCTAAATTTTACCATTTACATTCTGTGTACCTACTCCTGAGCTGCTGAATCCTGCTAGAGAAAGGCACACAAATTTGCTGAATAGGTTCAGTAAAAACCTATCCAATCTCATTGATACATGTCAATCATTTTCTTTTTCCTCGACTAACTCCTTGCCCCAGAAATGGATGTTCTAAACAATCTGCTCTAGAACTCTTTTAAAGTGCCCAATTTCACCTTAATTCCCCTGAGAAAATGTCTTTATCTCAGTGGGGACTTTAATGAGAAAATAAAGACCATCCATCATGAAGTCACTTATCTCTCCTATTTCATACCCCCAAAACCATTCTATATCTTTAGCCATTCTCTACTACTTTGTTCCATTATCAGAGGAAAGGGATAACTTTAATGATCAACAACTACGTAGAAAAAATATTCCACATCACTAATAAAAAAAATGCAAATATAGTAATGGGTTGTACCTCATGTCACTATGACAAAGTAATATCCCTATTGATGACTGAGCAGAAAGAGCTACTTACTTCATGTAGTAACTGCCCTCTGGCTTGCTCTTTTTCCTGTCTGCCTAGAGAATCAAGACCCTTCAAGCTTCTCTCTGGCAGGAATGATGAAAGGGTTGAAAACCTTTCATCATCCTGGAATTATGTTGTCTATAAACACATGGCAGCTAAACCATATTTCCTGCTTAGAATAGGAAAGGTGGTGTAATGGAGTGGATAGAGAGCTGGTTCTAAAGTCAGAAAAACCTGGACTCAAGCCCCCTCTGATTTTCTTGTTGAGTCATTTCAGTGGTGTTCGACTCTTCAGGGTTTTTCTTAGCAAAGACTGAAGTGGTTTGCCATTTCCTTTTCCAGCTCATTTTATGGATGAGGAAACTAAGGCAAAAAGGGTTGAGTGACTTGTCAAGGGTCAGACAGCAAAGTATCTGCGGTTAGATTTGAACTCAGGTCTTCCTGACTCCAGGCCCCTTCTGATGCATATGATGTATAATCTCTTTGTCCTCTAGGCAGGAATGTCAAACTCAGGGAGAACTAGATGAAAATGTAATTGGTAAACGTTTAACAAAATAAAGAAAAATACAGTATAACATATATAATGTTAATATGTGGTTTTCAAAGTCAGTATGGAAGCAGGGACCTGTTTTTATTTGAGTTTGACATCATTGTTTTAGGCAACTCTGTAAGATTTTAAGTTTCAAGGAAGGTACTGATTAGCATTGGTAGAAGAAGTTTCTTCACCTGTGAATTCTCTATACAAATGAAGTCACAGGTATAGTCCATTTCTCTTTCCAGCCAAGCATGAGGCAGGGTTTTGATTGTCTCTTCTGTTTTATTACTTTCCTGGTAATAGGTGAATGAATAGTGATCCTAAGATGGACATTCGCCCAGAAGTCAACCTTGTGAGTTTAAGAGGTCTTGAGAACCCGAGTCTCTAAGTCTAAGGGGTCTGGAAGCAGGAGGACAGTTTTACAATTATGCCTTTCTGGGAGAAAACAACCATGGTCAGGAAGACCTTCAGGTCTCCTCTAGTTAGCTAGAAAATATGAACCTGTGGGGAATTATTTGGACAGTGCAGAACTGAGGTGAAGTATAAAATGCCTATTTGTCAACTCCATAACTGTTTCATGTTCTTATGTTGAAGTTCAACCTCCCAGGAGAGCATAATAGCAGTTTTTGCTCCTTCCGCTACTTGTTCAAGTCTTTTGTGAGTCCTTGTGTTAAGCATTTGGTTTGGACGCAGGAAATAAATACATACCCTATAACTAATCTGAGTACCTTTATACTTTCCCCCTCTAGAGAGACCTTAGACAAGACCCAAACCGAAAGCTTTAAGTAATTTTCTCAAGGGTTTGAGGTGAGAATGGGAAGGTCCAAAGAGTGTGAGAAACTAAAAGCCTAGTCCAGGCTCCTCTGGGACTGAAAGTTACCTTCATTTATAGGTCTGGGGCTAAGAGGAACCCCTTCGTGGAATGGGAGAGCATGAGCATTCCAATACTTCCTGGGTCCAGAAATGGTTTAAATAAAAACAGCTTTGTGCTGGCTTCCTTTAAATCTCAATTAAAATTCCATCTCCACCTTTTCCCATTCCTCTTAATTTTAGACCCATTAGATTGTGAACTCCTTGAGAGCAGGGACTATCTTTTGTCTCCCTTTTTGTCCCTGATGTTTAGCACAGTACCTGGCATATAGTAGACATCTAAGAATTGTTTATTGACTAATTGTGTTTTGCCTTTTTGAATTAGTTCCTATTTATCCTACATAATATAGCTTGTTTGTAGAAATATGCTTACTTGTTTTCTCCCCCATTAGACTGTGAGCTGCTTTGCCTCTTTTCGCATGCCCAGCCCTTAGCACAGCGCCTGGTATATAGCAGGCACTTAATAAATGTTTATCGACTATTGAAAATGGCAAAGATGAAAGTGTTAAAGAGAAAGGGAAATGTTCCCTGTCCAAAATATATCCCCAGAACTAGGGAGTTTTGATGTTAACAGATGAGATAAATGATAATTAGACAGACTGACCTATTTACAGATAGAGAAAAAGAGATAGACAGATAGGCTGACAGATAGATAGATAGATAGATAGATAGATAGATAGATAGATAGATAGATTGGTATAGATAGACAGACAGATAGATAATCTACCAGGGTAAGTCTATATCTATCCATCTATCTAGGTAACTAGCTATCTTTCTCTGACTCTCTGTTTCTGCCTTTGTCTCTGTTTCTATCTCTGTCTCTTGGGGCTTCTCTGTCTTTTGTCTTTGTTCCTCTGATACAGATATATCTCTCTGTTTCTATTTCTTTCTTTCTGTTTCTTTTTATAAATATGTACACATACATATGTGTGTGTATCAGGGACTCAGGATCATTTGGCGAAAAACAATCATCTTGCCTTCTTCACTTACCTTTTACTTTGGCTTAAATTAATTTCCATGCAAAGCAAGAGAGGAGCTTGAGAACTTCTAACCCTAAGGTCAATGGTTGTCTGGGACAAAATACTGTTATGTGAACTCCAGACACAAGGGTTAATGGTAAGATTTAATATTAGGGGGAACCCTAGAAAGATCACAGAGAGGTTTACAGGAGCAGTTCCTCTCACTATACCAAATAATACAAGTAATAAGCCTGAAAATTCAGAAAAATAAACAAAAAGAAAAGGGAAAGAACTTGACACAAGATAATTATTACGGAAAAAAAATTAAAAGCAGAAGATGATCTCACCAGTTCTTCACTTTGGGTGCTTCCTCTGCTCACAGCCTTCCCTCCCAGCTCCCACAACTTGAATGTTTGCCCAGGCCTGGTTTAACTCTAGAAATATAGCATAACATAGAAAGGGTTTAGAATTTGGAGTCAGAGGATCTGAGTTTCATTCCCATCTCTGCCATTTGCTACTTACGTGACCTTGATCAATTCACTCTGGGCTTCAGTTTCTCATTTGTAAAATGTCAGGGGCTGGGCTGGTGTGACTGTGAACTGCATGGCCTCTGAGATCCCTTCTACCTTCAGATCTATAATTTTGTTGTCCTCTTCTATTTTTTTTCTCTTTAATCTCTCTCATCTAATCAGATCCCAAGGATGCCATTTTCATCTCTATGAAGATGAATCCTGGACCTTTATTTTACCTAACAGCAAACCTTCCAGTCTCCAGGTGCACAAGCTCGGGAACCCTAACGTCATCATTCTCTTTCACCTTCCACAGCCCGTGTCCAAGCTTCTTCAATCTAATTCCAGGACACCACTAACATTCTTTGTCCTTCTCTCTTTCCAAACAGCCACTACCCCAGTTCAGGCCCTTGTCAATAAGTTCCTGATTGTTCTAACTTGCAGTCTCATCTCTCCCATCTCCATCTATGCTCCACAAGGTACTAAAATAATATTCCCAAAGTACATGTTGGAGCATATCACTCCTCTTGTCTCTAAGAATCAAACAGAGACTCTTCTGTTTGACTTTTAAATCCCTTCACATTAAACTCCAACCAACCTTTCCAGGCTCATTATATACTACTGCCCCTCACATAGTCCATGGTATGGCCAGATTGGACTACTTGCTTTTCTTGATCCATGACATTCCATCTCTTCTCATCTTGCACTTCCGCAGGCAATTCCCCATAACTGGAATGTACTCCTTCCTCACATCTTTCAGAATCAATAACTTTACTCAGAGCTCAGCTCAAATGTCACTTCTTACATGAGGCCTTTCTCGATAACCCCAGATGCTAATAGCCCTTGCCAAATTACTTTGTGTTTGTTCTGTATATATTTCCTGCTCTGTGGAACAGCTAACCCGGACCTGTTCCCTGAACTCAGCATTCCACATCTAACCTTTGTACCTTTACACATACCAGGAATCGTCACCCTCCTCAACCTTGGCTCTCTGACCCTACTTCAAAGTCAAACTTAGGTGCCACCTCTTACAAAAAAAAGCCTTCTCTGACTCTCCCTCCTCCCCTCATTGTTAATGCTTTCTCTTCTTCAAATGACCTTGTATTTATTTATTCATATAAAATCCGGCCTTATTAGCTGAATTGTACTTATTAGAGTATGAGCCTGGGCAAGTCCCTTGATCTCTATTAGCCTCAGTTTCTTCATCTGTAAAATAGGGACATGCTGGTGAGGGAAATGGCAAACCATTCCAGCATCTTTGTTCATGTAGAGACAAACATAACTGAATGTTTGAACAAACCACAAATCCTCCAGTAAAATATAAGTTGGCTGAGGACAAATAGTGTTTAGTTTTTATCTTTGCCCTCTCAGCACTTAGTACACTAGTGACTAGCCATAGGAGGCATTCAGTGAATGTTAGTTAAATTGAATGCAGTTCCCTTCTCACCACCATACTTCTCCTTCTCTACCTGCCCCCATTCCCCACCTTGAATTTCTTTACTCCAGATTATTGCCCTAGGTGAGGCCCCAGGCCTTCTCTCAGATGACTAACCAAGGAAAAGTCATCTGGAGCATTCGCTCCTCCAGGATTAATGAGGGTTTAATGACCCAGGTGTGAATCTCTCAGGAGCTAGACTGAGATCAGAGGAGCAGTGCTCTGAGAATAGCCGTTTTCTCCCCCCAGACGCTAATTAAAGTGTGTTCACATATGCTCTGTCTTTATAGCTCCTGCCTCCCAACTTTTGAAATTTAGCCTTCAAAGGTCTGTTCACAGAGGGGAAGAAAGGACAATTGGTCAGGCTTTTTATTCCTCTCCACACACAGGAATGATAGTGTTATCCTGCTGGGTCATTAAACACTGAAGGACAAAGCCCACATATCTTCAAATGTTATATTTGCTTATTTATTCCCTCCTAAACACTTGGGAATTACAAAAGTGAAAGTTGAATTCAGAGTCCAGAAAAAGTTGTGATTAAGTCCTGGCTTATGCATTATGTGTCCTTGGGCCAAGAAATTTAACCTCTTTGAGCCTTTGTTTACTCAGTTAATTATAAGTTGTTGTCCTCAAAGTGCCAAGCAAATCTTAAACCACTTTACAAAACTGATATATCTGTTGGTTTATTATCATTACAGAAGGTGATTTGTCTAAAGTCACCCATACAGAAAATACTAAAATCAATGTTAGAACTGGAAGATTTGGAAAGGCCTTTGTTCAGTCTACTAAGACACACATAGAAGTTGTGACTAAAAGAGAAATTCTAGTCTTATCTGACCCGTTTAGACCATTTAATACAATTAATTGTCTATTCTCTCATTATGGATCTGTGGGAGAATATATCTATATATCTATACACACACACACCTCTCTCTTCTCTCTCTCTCTCTCTCTCTCTCTCTCTCTCTCTCTCTCTCCCCCATATACTCTTTTAAAACCTGCTTTTTAGTATCCCTAGAAATATTAAGAAATACTATTTCTCCAGTCTAAAACCCCTTCCAGACATTTCCCGTGGAAAAATGGGAACAAAGGCTAAGGCATTAATTTTATTTAATTTAAAAAAATTTTTTTTGGTAAATTTGTAAATTTTAAATTTAAATACTAAATGAGAAAAAGGAAAAAAAAACATTCCCAGGTACACAGCAGATCATAATAAAGGATTCAATATAAAACAATAATTTCCCATTTCAAAAAAACTTATGTATAATAAATACTACACATTGTTTTCAAAGTTGCCCAACTTTGCTTCCTTGTTAGTTTTCTTTTGTTCTCTGGGGTGCACTTTTTACTTTGTTTTCCCTTCCTCCCCCTACCACCTAAAAGAAGGATACAATTAAAAGTGAATATATACATATACATAGATATCTATAAACATACGGATTTATACACATCTATGTAAGACCATACTATGCTTTTTTTCTCCTATCATCCATTTCTCTGAAGGTGGAGAGCATCTTCCTTCATAAGTCCAAATCTTTCCACGTTTTCCTAAATCAACCAGCTCATCATTTCCTACACCACCATAATATTCCAACCCAATCACATCCTATCTGAGAGATTGTCTATGAAAGTTTTTCCCCCAATTTTCTGCATTCCTTCTATTCTTGGCTACATAGGTTTTATGTATACAAGAAAATTATAATTTAAAATAATTGAAATTAGTCTTTTTAGACTTCAACAATGCTCTTACCTCATAATATAGTTTAAGGTCTGATACTGCTGAATCTACTTCCTTTAGACCTTTTTCCCCTGGTTACTTTGAAGTTCCTGACCTTTTGTTCTTCCAAATTAACTTTGTTATTATTTTTTCTTAACTCAGTAAAATAAATTTTTAGTAATTTAATTGGGATGACATTGAATAAATAGATTACTTAGGTAAAATTGTCATTTTAAACATTATTTTGGCTTTACCTACCCATGAACAATAAATATTACTTCAATTATTTAGATCTGATTTTATTTGTATAAAAAGTATTTTATGTTTGTGTTCATATAGCTCCTTTGTCTGTTTTGGCAGATATATGCTCAGTTATTTTATATTGTCTAGGTATTTTAAGTGGTCTAAAACAATATTAAATAATATTGCTGACACATAGTGTAGTTTTTCACTTTTGATTGAATCTATTTTAATTGTGTCTGAGATCATGATTACTATCCCTGCTTTTTTTATATACTAAATTCTACTCCTGCCCTTTATTTTATCTTTGTGTGTATATCTCATTTTTACAGCACCTCCTGAAAGCAAGGTATTGTTGAATTTAAATTTTTAATGTGCTATACATTTCTGTTTTATGGGTAAATTTGTCCCATTCATATTCTAACCTACAATTACTTGTTATTTTTCTCCTTCCTATTTTTCCTCACTATCCTTCTCACCCTATTTACCCTATCCCTCCTCATTCCTCTGCTTTACTTCTACCCACTACCTTGTCCTCCTATTCCTTAACTCACCCACTTCTCTAATCCCTCCCTTATTTCCCCCCACCCTATCCCCTTGCCCTCTTATTTCTTTCTGAATTTAGATATGCTGTTCCCTCTTTAACCTATTCTCAATAAGAGTAAGGTTCCAGCATTACCTGCTCTCCCCTCCACTAGCTTCTTCTGTATAATTTTTTTTCTTTTTATGCTTCATTTGTATGAGATAATTGCTCCTTTTTATCTCTCTCTACTCAGTTTTAGTTTTTTAGAATCTCCATCATACTCAGCTCAGCCCACACCTTTCTTTCAAACTATGCAAATAATGATGACAATCATAAGAGTACTGCTAATACTTTCATGAAGTAAACAATTTGACTTTATTGAGTCTCTTTTAATGTTTACCTTATATTTCTCCTGGATGTTATATGTTAAATTTTCCCTTAAGTTCTGGGGTTTTTTTGACACAAAAACCTTAAAGTCCTTGAGTTTATTAAATGTCCATTTTTCCCCCCATTCAGAATAACACAGGATTACTGTGTTAAGTTACCCCCAGTCAAAACTCCAGCTCTTTATTCTGTGGAACATGGCATTCCAACACCTACAATGTAGTAGCTGTTAGGTCTTGTGCAATCTTTATTGTAGCTCCATGATATTTAAGTTTTTTTTCTTGTTGCTTCCCAATATTTTCTCTTTAATCTGGGAGCTTTGAAACTTGGCTATGATATTACTGTAAGTTTTCCTCTTGGGATCTCTTTCAGGTGGTGATTGGTGGATTTTTTCTATTCCTATTTTGCCTTCTTGTTGTAGAACTTCAGTGCAATTTTCCTTGATAACTTCTTGTAATATTGTATCAAGATACTTTTTTTAATCATAATTTCCAGATAGTCTTAGTATTCTTAAATTATTTCTCCTCTATCTCTTCCCCAAATCAGTTGTTTTTCTGATGAGGTATTTCACTTTCTCTCCTATTTTTTCATTCTTCTGATTTTATTTTATGATTTCTTGGTGTCTTAGAATGTTATTGGTTTCTCCTTGCCCAATTCTGGTTTTAAGTAATTGTTTTTTTCCTTAAGTTTTTGATGTTCTGTTTCCAATTGGTCAACTTTCTTTTCACAATTTTCTCGATTTTCTTGAATAGCTCTTTTTTTTCTAATTTTTCCTTGATCTCTCATACTTTATTTTATTTTTTGGTGTTTTAAAAAAATTTTAAACTTAATACAAAATAATAAAAGAAGCAAAGAAACAAAATTAAATATTGAAATGTAAACACAAAATAAGAAAATAAAATAAAAACCTTGCCATGTGCACAGCAGAACACAAGGATCCAAAATACATAGCAATAAATTTCCATTTCAAGGAAGCCTACATAATAAATACTACACATTTTGTTCAGAGCTGTCCATCTTTTCTTTACTTCCTTACAGGTTTTATTTTGTTCTCTGCTGTGTACTTTTTTCCCCCCTTTCCTTCCTCCTCCCCATTTACAAGAAGGCTTTAAGTGTGGACACACACACATATTCATATATGCACACACACACACACATATATACATACACTTACATAAACATACATATACATAGATATCTATAATCATACACATATATACACATACACATTCATATGCAGCTATGCAAGAATTTACTGTTCTTGTTTGTATTCTGTTTCTCTGAAGATGGATA